GTGGTTTATTTATTTGAGATAAGACACGTTAAGGAATCAAGGTATCTTAGGGGCTGCTGCCAACTCCCTCATTTTACTGATGAAATGAATGAGACTCAGAGAGGCTAAATGACTTACCCAAGATCATATGAATGAGGGCTTAATGTGCTAAGTGCTTTTCATGAATTATTTCTTAGTCCTCCCATCAACTCTAATCATGTCTCCACTTTACAGCTAAGGTTTAGAAAGGTTAACTATCTCTTGCTCAAAGTCATATAGCTAATACATGGTAGAGCTGGGATTCCACAGGTCTCTCTGGCTTCAGAGACACAGAACTCTTAACCATTTTGCTAAACAAGTCTTCAGCTCATCAGAGCCCTTTTCCTGGAGTCATGTGGTTTAAAAAAGCATTTAGCCATGTTTGGAATTTAAACTAACTTAATTGGAACAGAAGAAAACATCATTAGAAATGAGCAAACACATCGAGAAAAAGATAGGGGTAAGAGGGCAAGTCTGAAATTATTTTGAAGTTTATAAATACATCTAACAGAAGGCCTAAGTTATTCAAATGAGGTCAATATTACCTGGTTAATTCTCTCAGTCGAGTCACCTCGGCATCACGCTGACGTAAGGTTATTCCCAATATCTGATTTTCCTTTTCAGCAGCTTCTAACTTAAACCGGGAGCTTTCCACATTGACTAAGGCTTCCTCCAATTCTAAAACAACAAAAAAGTCTTAGTTTCCTTATTACTTTAAAAAAAGTGACCATAACCATAGTTGAAACACATACCAATTTTCATTCTTGTTGTCTCAATGTCAAATTGCTGTTTATTTTCAAGTAAAGTTTGATCTTTCTCTTTAAATATGCCAGCAAATTTTCTGTTTTCATCTTTTTGATTTTCTATTACTTTTAAAAGCTCTTCATTTTTACTCTGTAGTAATTCCTGGCTCTTTAGTGACTCCTGTAATTGATTTTGCAGGGACTTGTTCAATGACTGAAGAGAAAACACTGTAGGACAAAATAGATCAAATAATTGTTACTCCAATTTAAAAAGTATAAACTTGGAAAAGATCTGTTTTTAAAAAAGAAAAGGCTTGGAATTTATTGATTTTGCTTAACAATTATATGTTTGAGCAGGTCTATGTAAATGTATTTTAAAAGTTGATTGGCAGAAGTCATATCTTTCTTCTCCAATTGATATTTGGGGCACTAAATTTTTTACCTTTTTATATGAAATAATAATACACGCACAAAGTAAAAAAATTCAAAAACACCATGAAACACCAGCGATACCAAATGATTCTCAGTGAAAAGCCTCTCTCCCATCTCACCTCCACTCTCCCCCCAGAAGCAATCACTATTAACTTTGATGTCTTTCTGGAAAATACTTTTGTATATGACATATATTTAAACATAAATGAATCATAATATACCCACAGTTTCTAATCTTGCCTTTTTTTTGATTGTTATGTTTCAGCAGATAGGTATATCACATCCTTTATGATGGCTATAAAAATGTACGGCACCACTCATTTAGTAATTGCAGCCTTGAGTGAAGGCTTACTACATGGGAGTATTAGAATCCCGGCATACAGTGGTGAACAGCAGAGACGTGGTTCCTGTTCTCATGGAGCTAACAGCAAACAGTAAGTATGAATAGTAACAAGTGCTCTCAAGGAAACAAGAAGTAAAAGGCAGAGAATAAAAAGAGAGAAACTACTTAGAACGGCAACCACTCATCTCCTCACTGCCCATCTTGGCCTCCTCTCTCCCACTCCTCCCCATCGTTTATTCATAATGGAACCAGAGTGATCTTTTCCAAAATTACTCTGGTGAAGTTGAACATTTTTATGAAGTGTGTTCTGTTGGGTGCTTCTGTTTTTTTTTATTCCTTTGTAAGAGATATTTTTATATATTAGGAAAATAAAGCCTTTGTCACATCATGTAGTACCAAAAAATTCCCCCATTTTGTTCATGCTTTTTGAAGTATTTATAATTTTGCTCTGCAGAAAATGAAAGAATTTCTGGGACATATTTTATTAATCTTTCCTTTGTGGCATCTGAGTTTTTGTCAGGCTTAGGAAAAGTTCCCAAGAAAAGTTCTCATCTTTTCCTCTAGTACTATTAGTTCTCTTTCTTTTCTTTTACTTTAAACTGTATGATCCATAAGGACAATTTGGCAATATCTGTCAAAACTGCAACAGTATTATACCCTTTTACTCAGCAATTCTACAGCTGTAATCTACAAAAATGCTCACACGTGCATAAAGACATATGTATAAGGACTTTTATTGCAGGATTATTTGTTTTTGGAAAAGGGGGAAGTATGTAGACATCTGTCAGGAGAGGGTTTTAAACACATTATGATTGAACTACATAAACAGAATAACCACGTAGTTCTTAAATAGAAACATATTTCTGTATTTTGATAGAGAAAAATATCTACTACATATTAAGTGAATAAATGCAAGCTCTATACAGTGTCATCTCATTTCTACAAAAGAAAAAGTACATACATAGTTCTATTAGCGCCTATTAGTAGCTATTCAGTAAGTATTTGTGAAATAAATCAATTATATATGAACAGGAAATATGTGAAAGAAAATACAGCCTTTTAAAAAAATAAGGGTGTATTATTGGGAAGTGATAGCATAAGTCTTTTATTTTTGTGTTTCTGCACTATTTTAAATTTTAATATGGAGTATTATTCCTACTTTTTAAATATTTTTTTTAAAAGTCCACTTTAGACAAAGTAATTAGGAAACCTCAATACTTTATCAAGATTTCTAGAGCCACAAAGAATTTACCATCAATGCTTCAAGTCCTTTTACCTACATTCAAGGTTGCATTCCAAAGAACCAGATGCCTTTTGAGTTTTTTCTCGTTCTCTAAGTTGCTGGTTCAAAATTCTCAATTGCCTAAATAAAATAATGAAGAAACATGAGTACAAGAATCCCCAGCTCATTTAACCGTGTACATCTGGCAGCAAATTAAAATACACAACACAAACAGTGGCATCCACTAGGGCAGCACAAGTCCATCTTATCCTCCAAATAAAAGACAAAAACAAACAACAAAACCACACTACTGCTATTATTATAAGGCCTGAGATAATTTTTAAAAGATTGCCTGGGATAGCATAAAACCTCCCCTCACTAGAAAAAGGTTAACTTTTTTTCTTCTTCCCTATTTTGTTTTTGTATCTTTTCAGTGATTTCCTTGGTTTTTTTTTCTATTTCTTTTATTTCAATCTCCTCTTGTTATTTCCTTCTGCTTTCCTTCTCAGGAGGTATTTTTATTACTGTAGGAATCATCTACTTTTTAAAAGATCTGCCATAACTATGAACCAGAATATCTACAGGGACTGACTGCTATCAGACATCTATCTGCTTGGTCTGTCACACAGTGAAAACATTGGGAAACACAAATCTATGCTTCTACTAATTTCCTTGCTAGATGTAAAAGTTAATGGCTTTATTTAGGTGAAGAGAATGCTAATAAGCAACAACTTTGCCCCACAATGAACTTCAAAATACGTAGCTGCTTCACAAACAGGAACATACAAAAGGAACTACAAGTGTTTTCTTTACTTCTAGGAAGTTAACGCTAAAAAAAAGTTCTCTAGTATCTTTCCAGAATTACTTACCTGGAAATACTCCGCACTAAAGTATTTTTGTTACAGAATCTAAAACGATAGATCCTACCTCACATCACTTGTATGTATTAATTCAGAATGGATCAAAGAACCAAACATAAAATACAAAAACAAACAAAATCTAACTATACAAGTTTTAGGTGGAAATCTATGTAACCTTGAAGAGGGAAAGGCATTTCTAAGCAAGACTCAAAATCCATCAACCACCAAGGAAAATAAAAGATTTAACTATATCAAAAATTGAAACTTGCTCTAGAATTAATACAGCCTAAAAGAAAATACTTGCTGTACATATAACAGACAAAAGGTCTGTAACATTTAAGAGCTTCTACAAATCAGTAAGAAAGGCAGTAAAATATGACCAAGAATGGGAAATTCACATAAGAAATAAAATAGAAATCATCTATAAGCATATGAAAAATGCTATCTCACTAATATGAAGAAATAAAAATTTAAAACAGGAAGCATTTTAAGGCAATAGAATTGGCAAAATAAAAGGACATAGCACTTTTTGTTGGTGACAGTATATGGAAATGAATTATCTCAACTGATGGGAGTTTACTGGTATAATCATTTTGGATGGTATTTTGGCATTATCCAACAAAATGTAAAATGCTCATAATCTGTGACAAAATAATTCTAGCTCTACGTTACAGAAATAGTTGTATATGTGCAAAAACATCCATAATCTTGTCAATATAAACAAGGATGTTCACAATAGCAATATTTAATAGTGAGAAGTTGGAAATAATTTAAAATGCTGTATAAATTATGATATATCCATACTGTGAAATACTAATACACAGGTATTAAAAAAAAGAGACTGACATGGAAAGCTCTCCAAGAGACAATATAAAGTAAAAAAAAAAGCAAGCTACAGAACAACAGTGTAATACAACCTCATCTTTGTTTTAATAAAATTCAGCTTTTCTGAAAAGGTTTCTCCTTTATAACAAAGAGGGCAGATCTAGAAAAGGCGGCATAGACTGGTACTTCATAACTTCAACTGGAATGCTTCTTTTGGTATTTTCCAGAAAAACAGCAGGTCCTCTTACACACCAACTGTGTAACAGAAGCTTTGCTTGACAATTCTGTATGTCCCTTGTCTTCTCTTTTACTAGTTCATGCGCCTGAGTTGAGAGCATAATAAAATTGCTTCTGTATTAAGAAAACATTCCCTCCAACCTAACTGTAGAACTAGCTACTCTCTTCCCTCACATACTCAGCTTTCAGGGCCAGGTTTTTCAAAAATGATTGTTTTATTAAAGTAATACTTAATAAAACATAAAAGACGTCTTTTAAAAACGGATAATGTTTTATGCATTATTTTAAAATATTGTGTTTTATACTTAAGTTTACTTGATTTTAACAAAGGAAAAGAAGAACTGCTGACATTTAGGCAAGCATTTCTTTTTTTCCCATTCATTCTTTAAAATATAGCTTTATTCCTAATTACCTCCCCCCCAAAATAAATAAATAAGCAAATAAAATATAGCTTTGAGATAAAACTGATATACAATAAACTGTACATATTTAAAGTACATAATTTGGTAAGTTTAACATAGGATTTGTGAAACCATCAACACAATTAAGATATTCATCACCCGCTAAAGTTTCCTCAGGTCCATTTAATAACATTCCCTTGCCAGACAACTACTGATTTATAAATTAGTTTGCATTTTCTAGAATTTTATCTAATTATATTGTAAATGAAAGCATACAATATATACTTCTAGCCTGGTTTCTTCACTTAGCATAATCATTTTGAGATCCATCCATGCTGTTGCACATACCAATACGTCCTTCCTTCCTACTGTTGAGTGGTGTTCTACTGTATGAATGTACCATCATTTGTTTATCCATTCACCTGTTTGCAGACATTTGGGTTGTTTACTATGAATACACATGAACAAGTTTTTGTGTGCACATACACTTTCACTTCTCTTGGGTAAATACCTAGGAGCGGAATGACTGGGTCATATGGTATATTTGTATTTCTAAGAAACTGCCAAACTGTTTTCCAAAGTGGCTGTACCATTTTACATTCCCATCGGCAAATTATGAAAGCTTCAGTTCCTCAGCATCTTCACTAACACATGGTGTGGTCTTTTGAATTTTACTCATTCTAGTGGGTATGTAGTAGTATCTCATCATGGTTTTATTTTGCATTTTCCTAATGATTAATGATAATGAGCATATTTTCATGTGTTTCTTTGATACCTATGTATCTTTGACAAAGTATTCAAATATTTTGCCCATTTTTAAACTGTATATTTGTCTTATTGAGCTGTAACCATCCTTTAAGCATTCTAGACATATGTATTGCAAATATTTTGTTTATTGTCTGCTTCTTCATTTTTAGTGTCTTTTGAAGAGCCAAAGTTTTAAATGTTGATGAATTCCAATTCATTTTTTTCTTTTCTAGTTCTTTTGTTGTATTTAAGAAATTTTTCCCAACCCGAAGTAACTAAGTCTTCCTCCCGTGTTCTGTAAATTTAGCTTGTATATTAAGATCTGTGATTCATTTCAAATTAATTTTACATACAGTGTAAAAGTAAAGATTGAGGTTCCTTTTTTTTTTTTTTGGTGTACAGCTCTCCAATTGTTCCAGCATTACTTATTGAAAAGATTATTCTTTCCCCATTGCATTTCCTTGGCATCTTCGTCAAAAATAACTTATCCATGTGCGAGTTTGTTTCTATTGTTTCAGTGATCTATTTGTCTATATTTATGCCAATGCCACACTGTCTTGATTACTATAATTTATAGTTGTAAACTGTAACTTGTCTTTAAATAGGACAGTAAAATTTCATTCTCCTTTCCCAAAGTTGTTTTGATTATTTTAGACTTTATCTTCCATACAAATTTTAGAATCATCTTTCTACAAAAAACTTGCTGGGGTTTTCACCGGAATTACACATAATCTACAGATCAATCTGGGGAGAACTGCATCTTAACAACAGTAAATCTTATAGCCAGAGGATCTGGTTTATCTCTCACTTACATAGGTCTTCTTTAATTTCTCTCAGCCATGTTTTGTAGTTTTCAGTGTACAAGTCTTAGAAATCTTTTATCAAATTTATCCCTGAACTGTTCATATTTTTGATGCTACTATAAATAGTACTGATTTTAAATTTCATTTCAAATTGTTCATTGCTAGTACACAGAAATATAATTAATTGCCTTTTGTATACTGATCTCATATCCTGCAACCTTACTGAGATCACTTATTAATCCCAGTAGCTTTTTTTGTAGATTCCATAGGATCTTCTACAAAGATTATCATGTCATCTGTGAATAAGACAGCTTTACTACTTTCATTTTCAACGTGGGCTGGCTTTTCTTTCTTTTCCTTGCCTTATTGCACTGGGTAGAAACTCTAGCACAATACTGAACAGAAATAATACTGAATATGATTCAGACATTTTTCTAGCATATACAGACAGAAAAAATTAGCTAAACAGTATTTTTAAATTGTGAGATGATACAAATACTATTTTAAAATATTTTGTATTGAATTTAGGATTATATGATTTCAACTGAAAGAAAAGTAACAAGTGAAACCTAAACTAATGAACTTTAGGCAAATATTTCTTTACTTCAGAAAAAATTATTACTAAACAGCCTAAAATAAAGGAAATATGGATACGAAAAATGAAAAACATTGATTTTGGAATTTTTATTGTCACTATTACTAACACATTCTAGCCTGAGCCCATAATCCCACAGTTGTCTTAGTTCATGTATAGATTCAATGTTCATCTCTAATCTACTCCTTTATTTGAACTCATCTCTTGGTTGAATGGACTTTTTCATTCCAGAATCTTTTTGTTTTTAAAAGAGTCCAAGGGGATTGTATTTCCTAAGTTCTTGCACACTTTAGAGCATGACTATTGCCTTTACACTAAAAGGATTGCTGGACCACATGTGAGATTCTTGGGGCATACTTTGTTTCCCTCAGAACTTGGTAAATGATGTTCTATAATCTTCTGACAATGAATATTACTGTGAAAAGGTTGGGACCAGCTTGATATTTTTCTCTTTATGAATGGCTTTTCTTTACAGTACCTATTAAGTTAAATTTTTTTGTCCTTAAGGTATAGTAACTTAACCTTACATCTTGGTGTTGATCGTTTTGCATAGTTTTTCTGAGCACTTTCATATCCTATTATCTGCTGACACAGATCTGTAGATTAGTTGTTTCCTCTTATTTATATATCTTTTAATATTATCTTTAACCTATTTGTTCTCTTCTTTTTTCCAGAAACACTAATTACACCAATTTTGCATCTCTTTTCTTTCTCTTCCATATGTATCACATATTCTCAATAATGTTTAGATCAATCTTTTTCTATTCTGTTTTGTATGAATTCTTCAAACTTATCTACCATGCATTCAGTCATTTAACATATTTATTAGAGTGAGTGCTAGGCACAATTCTCAGCATTGGAGCTAACAAAGAAGATGAAAATGCAGCCTTCTCAGGTTCACAGAGACAGAAAAGAGAACAGAGGTTATCAGGGACTTGAGGGAAAAGAGAAGGGGACTTATTGTTTAATGGGTACAGGCTTTATGTTGGAGATGAAAAGGTTTTCGGTACAGATAGTGGTTATTGGTACACAGTATTGTGAACGTGTTTAATGCCAAAGCAATGTACATTTAGAAATGGTTAAAAAAAATACTGTCATATATTATACCACAACAAAAATAAATTAATAAAAATATTAAAGGGTTTGTGAAGAGAAATAAACTAAGGCTTATAGGAGACACTGAACTATGAATAGTGGCAAATGAAACAGAGATTTGTTGGGGGGCAGCAAACCACAAAAAACAAAACAACAAAATTCAGCCTTCATATTGCTTAAGTTCTAATGGAATATAATATTCCTGACTTGATGTTTGTTTGATGCTCATTTTTTTTGTTGTTTCCAGCAGGGCTTTCATTTTTGTAATAGTTTTTGCTTTTCTATTTTATTTTCCTGTGCTCACCTAATCCACTTTTCTTCTCCTTTTGTCTTTTTTCCTTTAAGCACTCTATCTTTTTCAATCTCTCTTCTTGCTTTTTTTGTATATATATATTTTTATTGAAGCACAGTCAGTTTACAATATTGTGTCAATTTTTGGTGTAAAGGATAATGCTTTAGTCATACATGAACATACATATATTTGTTTTCATATTCTTTTTCACCATAAGTTACTACAAGATATTGAATACAGTTCCCTGTGCTATACAGTATGAACTTGTTGTTTATTTTTATACATATTAGTTATTCTCTCTTCCTGCTTCTAAGACATACTCTATCACCTTTAATTTCCTTGAAACTACAGAATATTGTTTCAAGTTTTCATAGGTTTTCTTTGGGTGGTTTGTCTTATGATGTTTATTCATGACCTATCCTTGTCCCTTTGGTCAATTTCTTTATTTTGAATATTATACAAAGATCCATAAATTCTTCCTTCCTGTAGCTTTTGTGGCATCCCTCTCTCCCAGTTTTCCTGCTACTTCCCCATTTGCTCCTCAGGTTTCTTTCCCTGGCTCCTCTTCCTGTGTTCTCTCCTTAAAAAGCTGTTACTGCCCAGTAATTCACCCTTGGCTGTGCTCACAGTCCACGCCCTCTTGGTAAGTCTACCATTTATATGCTGATAACAAAGCACTTGCTTTCAATCATTACCATCTCCAGTGCCTACAGCAGTGCCAGATAAATAGCAAATGCTCAGTAAAACTGTGTTCAGTGAAAGACTCCCAAGCTTACATTTCTATCCTGGATCTTGTTCATGGCTTGACTCACACCACACATATCTCTAGGTGGTCTAAATGACACATTCAGCCTGTCTAAATCCTAACTCACTGGCTCTCCCTCTACAGCCTCTAACACAAAAATAAAATGAAATTAAAAAAATAATATATTCTTCCTCTAGTAACTTCCATCTGGAAGAATCATGTTACCATATGTCAAATTATCAGGCCAAAAGACTGAATACCACACCCTAGCTCCTTCTACTCACTTCCATTTCATTTTTTTGTTCTGTATGGGTACCAAATGGTTTTGTATTTGAGTCTAAAATCAAGAAATGGTCATGAATTCCAACTTGCCCTTTAAATATTAAGGTACTCTCTAGCTTAACTGGAACCCCCAACCCTCATCTAGAAAATTTCGGAATGTGCCAGGGCTTTTGGTGGCCACACTTGAATGGGGCACTACTGACATTTTGTGAGTAGGAACCAGGAAAGCTAAATGTTAAGTACTGTGTCAGGAGTTCCACATAAAAACAGTGCAGCCCCAAATGCCAAAGAAATAATGCAGCTAGCTATTTTTTTTAAGCCACAAGATGGCAATAAACACCGAAAAAGTCCTTGAAAGATCAGTTTTCTGGCTAAAAAGAAACATGAAGTTTCAAAATGTTCAAACAAGAAAAAAAATTTTCTTTGATTGAAAATTCTGCAAAACACTTTTGAATGAGCCTACACATTCCAACTTTCACTTGTTTTTTTTTAATTAGCCTCTCCTTTTAATAGTTTTCAGAAAATAAAAATTACTTTTAAATAACTTTTTTTCTGCTGAAATCCATTTTATTTATTTTTTTTACATTTTTATTGATTCATAATCATTTTACAGTGTTGTGTCAAATTCCAGTGTTCAGCACAATTTTTCAGTCATTCATGGACATATACACACTCATTGTCAACTTTCACTTGTAATGGAGATTACAGACAAATCTTTTTAAATAAAGATTACCAGAGAGACACGAAACTTCTTATACTTCTGGGAACCTCATTCTGCTAAAAAGAGCATATCTGACAAATTCTTGATTTTTCAATAATTTCATTTTTAGAAGGTCAGGTACATAGTGGCAGTAGCATGCCACATGATCTTTGTGCTCTAAGGACACAGAGCCAAAAAGCTTTGGTGCCGAGCAAAACATCTCACATACATCTCGGCAATGTTTTCCTACGGCAGTCTACCCAGGCAATAGAAATAAAAGCAAAAATAAACAAATGAGACCTAATTAAACTTACAAGCTTTTGCACAGCAAAGGAAACCCTAAACAATACAAAACAACAACCTACGGAGTGGGAGAAAATATTTGCAAAAGATGAGACTGACAAGGCTTGATTTCCAGAAATATATAAACAGCTCATAAGACTTAATAAGAAAAAAACAAATAACCTAATCCAAAAATGGGCAGAAGACCTAAACAAGCAATTCTCCAATGAAGACATACGAATGGCCAATAGGCATATGAAAAAATACTCAATATCACTAATTATCAGAGAAATACAAATCAAAAACTACAATGAGGTATCACCTCACACCAGTCAGAGTGGCCATCATTCAGAAGTCCACAAACGATAAATGCTGGAGAGGGTATGGAGAAAAGGGAACCCTCCTACACTGCTGGTGGGAATGCAGTTTGGTGCAGTCATTGTGGAAAACAGCATGGAGATTCCTCAAAAGACTAAAAATGGACTTACATATGATCCAGCAATCCCACTCCTGGGCATATATCCAGAGGGAACCTTAATTCAAAAAGACACCTGCACTTCAATGTTCATACCAGCACTATTTACAATATCCAAGACACATATGGAAATAACCTAAATGTCCATCGAGAGATGACTGGATAAAGAAGTTGCAGTATATTTAATGGAGTACTACTCAGCCATAAAAAATAATAAAATAATGCCACTTGCTGCAACATGGATGGCCCTGGAGAATGTCATTCTAAGAGAAGTAAGCCAGAAAGAGAAAGAAAATACCATATGATATCACTCATATGTGGAATCCGAAAAAAAAAGAGGAAATGAACTTATATGTAAAACAGAAACAGATTCACAGACATAGAAAACAAACTTATGGTTATGGGAGGTTAGGGGTGGGAAGAGGGTGGGAAAGGATAAACAGGGAGTTCGAGATTTGCAGATACTGACTGCTATATATAAAGTAGATAAACAAGTTTATACTGTGTAGCACAGGGAACTATATTGGATATCTTTAGTGGCTTACAGTGAAAAAGAATATGAAAATGAATATATGTTTATTCATGTATGACTGAAGCATTGTGCTGTACACCAGAAATTGACACAACAGTATAAACTGACTATACTTCAGTTTAAAAAAAATTTAATTTAATTAAAGAAAAAAAGCTTTGGTGCCAAGGCTGAAGAATTAGGTTAGACATCAAACTAATATCTTCTTAAAAAATTAAAAACATGCAGTGACCAATAAAGCAGTAAGTCTCATTTTCTTAAGTGGCTAATAAATTAGCTCCTAAAGCAATTCTAAAATGTCCTAAGTCATAGAAACAAATAACAACCACTGATATTTCCCATGGTCACAATGTTGAAATAGATAATATGTGGAGACTAAGTTCTGGTATGCTTGTTTAAAAACTAATTATTTGATAGTCATACCTTTAAAAATATACATGTTTATTTTAAATGGATTATATTCTTTTGTTCCATAAAAAACAGCTAAACAGTGAAGCATAAACTAGTCTCCAATTCCAAGCAGAGGCAAGTTAGAAGTATAGAAATTAAAATCAAAGCACTCTAAAATTAAACTGCTCAGGTTTGAGTCTTGTCTTTTACAAAGATCCATAGCCTTGGGTTAAGTTACATAATGTCTCTGTGCCTTGGTTTCCTCAACTGTAAATAAGAATAACATAACATCTAACTCATAAGCTGTTGTAAAAATTTAAAGAGATGGCACATATAAAGGATAGTAGCCTGGCACATAAGAAACATTCCATAAATGTTGGTAGTAGGTTTGGCTATTATCATTATTATTATTTACACTTAGTTTTGATTTTGAAAAACTAATGCTACTATAGGAATCCCTTAGGTCAGGACTGAAGACAAAATTATTAGAGTTTAAACCCCATCATATATCATAGTATCTAGAGACTAATGATCTTTAGAGAAATAATCCTAAACAAGCAAATCTCACTAGATATTGTGCCTTTGCAGGCTCCAGATCCATGAATTTAAGCTACCCTCCAACTAGAAATTCTATTTTATTGCTTTGTAGTTTCTTAAGAATGTTTATGTAGGTCCTTGCAGTTCTTATCTGGTACAATGTCTACAGATCATGTAACTGTAATGCCCTCCCAGGGCACAGGAGTGCTGCAGTGCTGCAGAAGCACCTGAAAATGTGCTCCAATTCTCTGCAAAGTATACTGATAAACAGACACTGGAGCAGTGGTCTTGGTGATCACCACTGAAATGTTCAACGTTAAGATATTATTGATAACATGTAAGTGGTTTCTATATTTCAACATTAGGTACCTGGTTTATGTCTTTCCTAAACAACTTAAGACCCTAATTTCAACCTAAGTTAAGAGAGCCAAAAGAAAAATTACCTAAGAATTTAAATGAATTTTTTCCTATGTGTAAGTGTAGTGAGCTACTAGTGTTCACCCATACCAGGTTCTCCTTTCCTTCTGGAGTATATGGGAAGTATGAGAAAATTTCATATCCCAGATCTTTATATTAGGCAAGGCAATAAGTTTCACTTTAGCCTGTAAAATCTATGGAAAAGTGAGACTGTCCCACTTCTGGGGACATGAGCATTTAAGAGCCGGTGTGCCACATCTATGTTCTCTTTTTCCTGAAAAACATATGCTGAGACAGTGGATCCTAAGACGGAGGGAACCTAAATCCTGAGTCACAGGATGAAATCCTGAGGACCCATGCTGGTCCTGGTGTGAGGGAGAGATAAACTTCTGCTCTGCTATACCAACTGAGATTTTGGAGTTTGCTACTGCAGCATAGCCTAGACTAGCCTGGTAGTACCCTGAGGTACTTCTTCCTCTCCATTCACTACCAATCAAGTGACAACAGATGTGAAAGAGGTGGTATAAAATACGTACTAGTGAGCAGAAGTAATGGGAGAGTAGAGGATGCTGGCAATGTTTGAAAAATGGGGAAGAAATAGTAGAAACACAATAAGATAGTGTATCTGTCGTCCTTATGAAGCCTTAGATAGGTCATCAGGCACTTTTGTTCTGGCGATGGGACATCTTTGCACAGAGACAAAAAAAATTCATAGAATAATTCTTACCTGCGTAACTGAGCATTTTCACTTCTTAGTGGTTGCATAGCCAGTGCTATTTCCACCTGAATATTTGCGTTTCCACTTACAGCTGGAAGCAGAGATATACACAACTCCAATTCTGTAAGCAACCTCTGAATTTCTGAATCTTCTATAAAAGACAGAAGAAATGAGTAAAGGTAATATTATAAATTGGTTTTGGATAAGATTATTCATATGTATTACTTAAAAAGAAAATGTTTCACATACACTCATACTTTCTATAAACAAATTCAATTCAGTTATTTGTGAATTTATTATACAAATCCTATTTTTCTCTTTCCTGCAGCCTGTATTTCCTTATCCAGAGGAATTCTAAAGAAATTAAGTTCAGTAGTGAAAGATTAACCTTAAGTGCTAGGATTATTATAGCAGTGATTTTTCCATTCAAGTGTCTAGTAGGAAGATGGTTTACACATATCTCTTAGTTTACATTTACCAAAAGACTCTGTTGGACTCCTATAGTTGCTAAAGGGTTTCCTATAATTGATTATAGTATTAACATTTACAATACAACCTCTGATCCTAGCGTAAGTAAACAATTCACTCTAGATAATTCAATTTGGCAAAATATTGAGAGAAGGTCTACCAAGATAAGGTTTCATTATTTAATTTTACAAAGTAGATTTAACACAACCAGTCACAACTCATTTGATGTAGCATCAAAAGCAGCATCATTTT